TTGTCAAAATTAACCTTCACATGTTACCAGTTTTCCCATTAATGCCCTCTCTCTGTTCCAGAATCCAATACACAGTGCCACGTTGCATCGAGAAGATTAACTTTCAGAGGGTGCTTTTTCCTGATTTGAATAGTTTGGTTTTTGGTCCCATTTATTTATTCTGTTTTATTTAAGCCAAGGGGCCAATATGTGTATGTCAAAACCATTGATGAAACCAGCCCTTTTTCGTTCTGTAGCAATCACTTATTTTGTTGTTGTTAAATTTAAAGTGAAAATGATGTGAGTTTGAGCTAGTAGCAGGATAAGCAGGTGAAAATTCTATGAGTTTGATGGAGCAGAAAGAAAACCAGACTGTAATTCACACATTGAGATTCCTCCCAAAGCTCTGCTTTCAACTGCTTGAATGAACTACAGCAAAGTAGTTACACTTCCCATTTCTTGGCTGTGATCTCTGTGAAGCAGGAATCACAGTATCTGTCAGAGAATTACCTTCAGGTGATGTTGAAAAGATAAAATAAGGGGAAGAGTTTTAACTTTCTTAGGAGGCCATCACAAAAACTACAAAGTATGATGTGAACTTCCCTAGAGGAATCTCCCCTAAGTGCCTGTGCATATAGAACATCTGCAAAGGTCAGAGTCTGCTGAGGAGAGGAATCCAGTCCACAGTCTTCAGCTGTAAGAAATGAGCTTTTAACTATTCACAGTAGCAAAGACATGGAGTCAACCAAAATACCCATCAACAGTGGACTGGGTTAAAATAATGTGCTGCATACACACCATGAAATACTATGCAGCCGTGAAAATAATGAGATCCTGTCCTTTGCAGCAACATAGATGGAGCTGGAGGCCTTTATCCTAAGAGAATTAATGCAGGAACCAAAAACCAAATACTGTATGTTCTCACTTATAGGAAGGAACTAAATATTGAGTACACATGGACACAAAGATGGGAACAATAGACACTGGGACCTGCTTGAGACTGGAGGGTGGAAGGAGGGAGAGGATTGAAAAACCACTCATCATCAGGTACTATGCTGATTACCTGGGTGATGAAATAATCTGCACACCAAACTCCCAAGACGTGCGGTTTACCTATATAACAAACCTGCACCTATACCCCTGAACCAAAAATAAAAGTTTAAAAATAAATACATCAATACATACATAGATAAATAATGTAACATCTGAAGAACACACTAGAGCAGAGTGCGCTAAAAGGAGGTATTCCTGTAAAGGTTAAAAAAAAAAAAAAAGAGATGAGCTTTTAACAATGGAGATTTGCTTCAGGATCCCTGAAACCTGTCTCTAGTAATTTGCTTCCTAAATTTAAGTGGCATTTATTTCCAGTGTGACTCACACGTGATATTCAGGTGAGGAATACACATTTTTTCATTGGTTTCATTCTCACTTAATTGTCTATTTAATGCTTCACACCAATTGTTGAAAACAGCCTCTTTCTTAGAGTAGCTGAACTTTAACTCCACTCCCTTGTCCCCAGCCTAACTTCCTGATGGCTACTTCAGTGCCACTTAGCTCTATGCTCTGTTTGTCATAAAGGGTGGGGAAGCACAATTTATTCCCCCAGCCATGGGTCACCTGCCCAGCCAGAGCGACCTCAGCCCTGGCGTGTCTGAGCCCTATACTGGAGTGCTTGGTCTCCAGCCCTCAAGTGGGAGGTATTGGTAATATAGGGGCCAGAGGAAAACTGCCCTTTTGGCCTCGAAGGTTTGCTAAAAATCAGCTGACAAAGGCAACTGAGAAAAGGCACACAAATTTATTAACATGCATGGAGCCTTATAAAATAGATCTCAAAGAAATGGCCGGATGGTTGATGCTTTTACACCATCTTGAGGTTACAGAAAGAATGGGGTCTTGGCTCGTAGCCACACAGGTTAGGAGGGGGTGAAGAGGAGGCTTGGTTAGTAAAGGTGGTTTTGTTATGCTGATGAGACTCTGCCCACAGAGAGAAGACACAGTGAATATTTCTTTCAGACCTTTAAAGATGTCAGTCTCTCAGTTCATCTTTCCTTGATCAGACAAGGGAGGCCTTCAGAGAAAGCCTGGCTGCCTCAATGCAGATTTTCTCTCCCTCTCTCTCTCTCTCTTTTTTTTTTTTTCATGAGAGAGCTTCTCACTCTGTTATCCAGGTTGGAGCACAGTGGTGAGATCTTGGCTCACTGCAACCTCCGCCTCCCCGGTTCAAGCAATTCTTGTGCTTCATCCTCCCAAGTACCTGGGATTACAGGCGTGCACCACCACGCATGGCTAATTTTTGTATTTTTAGTAGAGACAGGGTTTCACCATGTTGGCCAGGCTGTTCTTGAACTCCTGACATCAAGGGATCCACCTGTCTCGGCCTCCTAAAGTGTTGTGATTACAGGCATGAGCCACCACGCCCAGCCAGATTTTCTCTACAGATGGAAATCTCCCCCACAAATGACAGCTTTGCAGGGCTGCTTCTGTTTGCAACCCTCTGAACATCCATCTCAAAATATATCAAAGAAGTGTATTTTGGGGTGAAATATTTTGATTCCATCAGTGACCATCTTCTGAGATTATCTGCTGACATTCTGATCCTGCCTGAATTCACTCTTCCTGCCTCTGCCAGGAAGTACCCTTTCAATGCCATATTTAATTATATGCTAATTGCCTCATAGGCACAAAGCCTGTTCCCTCAACTATCCTGGTAAGAGCCAACCTGGTAATAAAATAATAACAACAATAATAGCCATTTTTGTGCTCTTCCTGTCTTGTAGGCACTGAGCTTGGCAGTTGGGATAATCAGTCCATGTAACACTCACATGAAAACATGTGGGAATATGAGACACAGAAAGCTGAAGCTGTTTTCTCAAGGGCACAGGGCTGGGGTATCTGTTTCCTATGTCTGTTGTAACCATTGACCACAAATTTAGTGGCTTAAAACTTTTTTTTTTTTAATTTTAGATTCAGAGGATATGTATGCAAGTGTGTTACATGGATATATTGCATGATGCTGAGGTTTGGAGTTCTAATGATCCTGTCATCCAAGTAATGAACATAGTACCTGATAGTTTTTTACTCCTTGGCCCTCTCCATCTCTCCCCGCTAGTAGTTCCTAGTTTCTGTTGTTGCCATCTTTATGTTTATGAGTACCCAATGTTTAGCTCCCACTTATAACTAAGAACATGCAGTGTTTGATTTTCTATTCCTTAGGATAATGGCCTCTAGCTGTACCATGTTGCTACAAAGGACAATATTTTGTTCTTTGTTGTGGCTGTGTAGTATTCCATGATGTATATGTACCACATTTTCTTTATCCAATCCCTGTCGATGGGCACCTGGATTAATTCCATGTCTGCTGTTGTAAATGGTGTGGCAATGAACATACAAGTACAGGTATCTTTTTGGTAGAATGATTTATTTTCCTTTGGGAATAACCATCAATTAAATGGGTTGTCAAGGTGTTGGCAGGGCTGTGTTCCTTGCTGAAGGCTCTAGGGGAGAATCTGATTCCGTGCCTTATCCAACTTCTAAAGCCTGCCTACATTCCTGGGCTTGGGGTGCCCTTCTCTGTCTTCAAAGTCAGCAGCATAGCATCTTCCAGCTTCTCTCCACCCCCCACCCCCGCTTCTCCAGCTCCCCCTTTCCCTTGAAAGGACCCTGTCGACAAAAAGAGTCAGACTCTGTAAAATGTTTGAAGATATTTATTCAGGGCCAAGTTGACACAGCCCCAGGAGATCCTAAGAACATGTACCCAAGTTGCTCTGGCTACAGCTTGGTGTCTACGTTTTAGGGAGACATAAGGCATCAATCGATACATGTAAGATGTACATTGTTCAGTCTGGAAAGGTAGTGTGAGTCAAAGTCAAGGAGTGGGGGTGAGGAGGCTTCAGGTCATAGGTGGACCCAAAGAATTTCTGATTGGCAGTTGGTAGAAAGAGTTGATCTAAAGACCTGCAGTCAATAGAAGGGAGTGTCTGGGCTAAAATAACGGGGTTGTGGAGGCCAAGGTTCTTATTATGCAGATGAAGTTTCCAGATAGCAGGCTTCAGAGAGAATTGATTGTGCATGTTTCTTATCAGACTTTGAAAGATACCAGATTCTTGGTCAGTTCTCGCCTGGATCAGGGAAAAGACCCCAAAAGAGAAGGGGATTGTCTACAGAATATAGACTTTTCCCATTAGAGACAGCTTTGTGGGGCTATTTTGAAATATGTCAAATAAATATATTTTGGGATAAACTACTTCAATTTCTATTAGGGCCTGCTATCTGTCGTGTTGGTATCTTATTGCTACAAAGAGTCTCTTTTGCCAGTCTTAAAAGCTCTGCTTTAATGTTAATGCTGGTCAGTTGTACCTGAATTGCAAAGGAAGGAGGGTAAAATGAGGCATGTCCAATCTGCTCTTTCCATCATGGCCTGAACTAGTGTTTCAGGTTAAGCCTTTGGAATGCCCTTGGCTGAGAGGAGGGGTCCATTCAGTTAGTTGAGGGGCTTAGAATTTTATTTTTGCTTTGCAACCCTATGATTACATTGGATCCACTCAGACAATGCAGGGTAATCTCTTCATCTCAAAATCCTTAGTCACATGTTTAAAGTCCCTTTTGCCATATGAGGCAAAATACCCATTTCCCCAGGCTCTAGGCTCCAGGAATTTGGATGCAGACACTGGGGGGCACCATTATTTTGCCTACCACAGCTAGTATAAAGTAGAAATGGAACTTGAATTCCCTGACTCCAGTCATTGATTTGAATCTTTGGTGACTCAAATCTTTGTTGCGTTGAGTCTGTCTGCTGACAGTTTTTGTTCAAGATGCTATACAGTGCTGACCGTCTCATATATGGTGTATCATATATATTCCTTTTTCTAACACAGCATATACTATATTGTTCTTAGAATATTCTTGGATGGTATCTATGTAATCAGAGCACTTGGTTCTTCTATGTTGAACATGAAAGAGTCCATTGAAGTGAGCGTTGAAAGCACTGCAATCTCCCTGTTGCCTCTTTTATGTTCTTTTAGGAGGAAAAGCAAATAACTGGGAAGGAGGTATCCGGATTCCAGGCATCCTTCGTTGGCCCAGGGTGATACAGGCTGGCCAGAAGATTGATGAGCCCACTAGCAACATGGACATATTTCCTACAGTAGCCAAGCTGGCTGGAGCACCCGTGCCTGAGGACAGGTACTCTGATGCCAGGGTGGTTGGTATTGTTGAGCTCTGATTTCACAGCCCAATATGCTCCGGTTTGCCTGCATAATGGTGTGGGGAACAAGGCCTTTGGCCCCCTAGAGTTTTCCTGAAAATCATTGGTATGAGGCAGGCCAATTAACAGGATAAAAGGCATATAAATTTACTTAATGTATATAAACAGTAGACTTCTGAAGAAAGAGCCAAAGATACAGGGGAGATTGTTCATTTTTATGCTGTGGTTCAACAAAGTACGGGCAATGTGTACAAGTAGGATTGGAGGGAAAGATCTCACCTCATGCTAATGGACTGAGTAGGGAAACCCAGCCAGGCCTGTCTATCTAGATTCTTCTTGGCCTCTTTGAGCACTGCTCCTTCCTTCCGGGCATGGGCCAGGGCCCTCTCTGGAATGGGGACCTTAGGACCTACAGTGAAACAAGGAAGGTCAGAGGATTTATTTATGTAGGGCAGTTTTTACACAGAAAGGCAGGGGAGAAGTTGGAGTGATATTTTTAGGTTTGATGCTGACTTTGGGTATCAGTGGTTTTGGTTCCTATGACCTGCATTGGGGAAGAAGGATTCTGGTTTCTCTAGCTCTTTGGGGTGGAATGGGACTGAGAGACAGGAGAATGTCAGAGAAAAACTTCTGCTTCTAAGGCCACTGCTGAGGCCTTCGGTTTGGAGTGTCATGCTACCTCCAGCTGGACTTGTTATCTCTGTCCAGTCAGGGGCCTTACTGGTGGGTTCCGCAGTGTAAAAACCTGTCTGCAAATCTCTTTATCCCAGAGGGAAATAAACTCAGAGGCACTGAACATTTTTAGTGACCAGGAATGTGGATGGCTGGTGTTTAATTTAGCCTTCATCTTTTGGCATTGTGCTGACGCTGTTATTCTCGTCTGTTCATCCCACCATTGCTTGTCGTTGTGCAGCTGTGCCACAGCCTTTTTGACCTCCCATGTTGGGATCCCACACCTTTTCCTTTGTCTACACTCAGCAGCTTTTTGCTGTAACAGTGAGAAATGCAGCCGATTCCCCAGTTAAGGTCCCATTTCCCAGCATGTCTTCACTGAGAAGTTCAAAATGAAATGTCTTTCTCTTAAATTTAAATATGACTTCATATGACATTGGCAGTGGTTTCTTCCTAAGTGTTATTACCAATCTGAAGAGTTTTAAGTGAAGCACACTGATTAATTGTTTTCATTAGTTTGGTGGCAGGCCAGGCTAATGTCACGCAGGCAGCTGCAAATCTTGTTTAAATTCAGCTGCGATGAGAAGGAAGAGGAAAGAGGAAAGGAAAGACAAAAACAACCACACTGTCAAAGCAAATTCAAAGATAGGTTTCCTCCTCTCCCACTGTATTCAGGCTTGTTGGTTTATAGGTTACAACTCTGCTCTAGGCATACACCCTTCCTCAACACACACACAGACACACACCAATGAGAAGCACAGCATTGACAGTTCAGCTGTTCTCAAACTTTGAGGTCTCAAAACCCCTTTTCATTCTTTTATGATTGAGGACCCCAATGATCTTTTACTTAAGTAGGTTATGTCAAGCTATAATTATTATATTAGTAATAAAAAATAACTTTTTTTAAAATACCAAAGCACCCCAAGCTCACATTCCATTGGCTAATACATTGATGATGTCATCATTCATCCCGTGACCACTAGGAATTCCCACGTACACTCCTGAAAGAGGGATAGTGACAAAGACAAAGAGTGCCTTCCTATTGTTGTAAAAAATGACATGGCCTTGCAGACCTCCTGAAAGGATCCCAGAGATCCCTGAGAATCTCTGGATCACTTTTTGAGACTAGCAGGTGCTATGGGTAAGAGTGGAGATTCTAAGTCAGCACTGGTTGACTTCACTTTTTTTTTTTTTTTTTTTTTTTTGAGAAAGGGATCTCACTCTGTCACCCAGGCTGCAGTGAAGTGGCATGATCTCGGCTCACTGCAACCTACCACTCCCAAGCTCAAGTGATCTTCCCACCCCAGCCTCCCAAGTAGTTGAGACCACAGGCATGCACCACCATGCCCAGCTAATTTTTTGTATTTTTGGTAGGTATGGGGTTTTGCCATGTTGCCCAGGCTGGTCTTGAACTCTTGAGCTCAAGCAATTGAGTTCCTGCTTTGGTCTCCCAAAGTGCTAGGATTACAGGTTTGAGCCACCAAGCCCAGCCAAGTTCATATTTTTATCATCACTGCAGGGTAAGTGTTTAACTTTCTTGGGCCTTCACTCCTTCTCTGGAAAATGAGTTCAGTAATAGCACTGATTTTACAGGATTGATAGGAAGATTAAAAACCTCCTTGCTTATAATGTGCAGTGCAAAGAAGGCATGAATATTTGCTATTTTTTGTTTTACCTGCCATATTGAGGTAGGAGTCAGGTGTACAGTTCTTTCCTCTTCCATATTTAATATTCATCCATCGTCATAAAATCATATAATCTGAGGGCAAAAGGGGAATTTTAAGATCTTCTACTCCAGTTGAACTATTCTTTCTTTTCCACTCTAGTGATGGAAGACATGGCAGCAGTAACTCACAGAAAGATTTTTCCTATATAAAGCCAAAAATTCCATTCTCTATTTCACTTCCTCATTGGTTGCAGTTCTTACCTTTGGAATAAAGCTTAATACTTCCTCAAGTAGCTAGAATGGAGTGTTCAGGCAATCTTGTTTATTATATTTCTCTCTCATGACCCATAATATTAAAACCATCTCTACTCTTCACTTTCATAATATCTTGGAATGATTTTCTATCCAGTGGGGGAAAAGCAAGGTAAGGATAAAGTTCAGAGGTAAAGAGGAAGATTCCTAAAGGGAAATCTTACTGCTTCTGCCTTCTAGCCACTCCAGGCTGAGACCAATGGAGACCAATCTGTGTTTCTTGTATGTGCTCAATGAAGAATGAAATAGCCTCCCTTTCAGCAGACCCAAGTATTTTGTGTGTGGGTTTGCGTCATCAGTAGAACCAAATGTCGATATTGAAGATTCCCCTGTGTTTCTGATTCCTTTCATGGACCTTGAAGGTGCTTGTTGACCTGCTTTATTTATTTATTTTTTTATTATTTTTTTGAGACAGAGCCTCTCTCGGTTGCCTAGGCTGGAGTGCAGTGGTGCAATCTCGGCTCACTGCAACCTCTGCCTCCACCTCCATGGCTTAAGTGATTCTCCTGCCTCAGCCTCCCAAGTAGCTGGGACTATAGGCATGTGCCACCATGACTGACTAATTTTTTTGCATTTTTAGTAGAGACAGGGTTTCACTATGTTGGCCAGGCTGGTCTCAAACTCCTGACCTCAGGTGATCCACCTGCCTCGGTCTCTCAACGTGCTGGGACTACAGATGTGCACCACCACACCCAGCTAATTTTTGTATTTTAAGTAGAGATGGGGTTTCACCATGTTGGCCAGGCTGATCTTGAACTCCTGACCTCAGGAGATCCACCCACCTCGACTTCCTAGAGTGCTGGGATTACAGGCATGAGCCACCACTCCCGGCCTGATGACCTGGTTTTAAACCACAGATATTGCTTCTGTGTTGAGGTCCAAGCTTCTGGTACTAGTCCAGATATAAAATGCCTTCATCATCCTAGAGACAACACAGATTAGAAATGTGCTTCCAAGTGCCTTGTGGGAATAACATTATCACACAGTAGTTTATTTAAAGCATATTGCCAACCAGGTCTAGTAATATTCTTATGTATTTGTCTAGAAGAATTTGAGTATCTAAGGTAGTGTTTTCCCCCAGGGGTCACTTGTCAATGCCTGGAGACATTTTTTTATTGTCTTGGCTCAGGGTGCTACTGGCTCGGATGTGCCACTAAACGTCTTGCAATACACAGCAGAGACCCCTACTACAATGAATTATCTTACCTGTTATGTCAGTAGTGCTGACGTTGAGAAATCCTACCCTGAAACTTATTATTGCTCTTTTATGGAAAATGTTGTTATAATGGAAAATCCCATCCAAACTTTTCAATAAAAGCATCTAGACAATACCATCACATCTATGTCCATCAATAAATGTGATACACAGATGTCTGTCCTTTAGAAAATAGCCTTAACTATTTCCTGCTCAGAGAGGTGCAAATAAGCTTTCTCAGCTTCCTGCTAGAGCTAGTTAAATTTGCATTTCTCAGGAGAAGAAACTCATTCAGAGGGTTGGAAAGGCTGTTTGATGAGCACTTAACAAAGTGCCTTTGCTTCTTTCTGCATTTTGTTTGAAGCAGAGAATTTCTGTTCAGCAGACCCCCATTCTTCAAGTACTGTCCTGTAATCCTTAAGAAACATTTTGGATCTAGTGGGAGCCCTTCCTGGCCAATCAAAACATGCTGGGAGAGCAGAAGCCCTTGGATCCAGGGTTTTTACTTAAGCAAAAAGAAAGGTAGTCCAGAGGAACACAGGAAATAATTTTTATCCTTAATTTTTATTTTTTTTATTTTTTGCTTTGCAGCATCTTAACACTGCAGTGAGAATAGTTCTTCAATTCAACCGTATGGGATGCTTACATGAGATTTCTCTCTGGCAGTGAATTTTTCCTTCATACACACTTAAGTGATTCATTTTCATTCAGCGGCATGACTTATCAGAAGAAATTTCAGTGTCCATCACCCTGGGCATATTCAGAAAAATTATTTCCCCCCCCCCAGGTCCCCAAAATAAGCTGATTTTGTAAATAAATGGAGGACAACCTTTTGTGTTACAAAAGGCAGGCAACAAGGGCTTACAAAAAAGAAGAATCTAATACCTAAATGTTTTAATTCATTAACATGAAAATTCTTTCTGTGGGTCCCATCTTTGCAAGCAGATATAATATTGCCATAGTATAAGTATGACCATGCCTCTTCCTAACATGATATTAACATCAGTAATAAAGAATGGTAACAAACCATATTTGGTTACACCTTTTGGAAAACATCAACATTTTAACCATGGACCCTTCAGCTGGGATGCAAGGAAACAGAGTGCTGGCAACTTCAAGAATCACATTTTACAGGTGAAGTATTTAGATCTTCTGCTCCGTAATTAAAATAAAAATTGACTTCATTTGTTTCAACTTACAAAAATAAATTAATGCTTTAATGTTCAACACACTTTTGTCTAATGGAGACAAGGAACGGATTTAGCTGACCTCTCCCAGTAACTTTTGCTGACTTATAGGTAGTGAGAAGACCTTTGTAATAGAGTGGTACAGATGAAAAAGTCAGTGAGCTATATCTGGGTCACATCGGTTTTGCAGAATTAAAGGTGACCCTCTTCATTGGAACAATCCCAAGTTTGTGCATGCAACCACTTATACAGATCTTACTTTCTGTTCGACGATGGCAGAGGATTTAATGTTTACAAATTGAAACATGTTTTTCTTAATTGTGAAAATAACTTTCTGGATACTTAAGATTCCCTTTAGTTTATTATAGATATACATACTTTCTCATAAAAATGTTTCCTTAACTATGACTGTCTACATTGAAATCATTGTCATTTGTATATCAAATAAGCTGCTCGCCAACATTGTGCCCCAAATAAGCTTCTCTATTGGTCTCCAAGACCTTCCCTTCTGTATCACCCTAAACCTTTTTCTTAGGATCCTTCAGTCCTTCTAGAGTTGGCCAGGCAAAGGGTAGGTGGAAAGGACATTCCATGTGGAGGGACGAGGATGTTGAAAGTCTCAGAGCTGAGAGACGGCACAGCATGCTCTTGGAGGAATGACATCAATAGGTTCAAGGAAAGTTTCCAGAATTATGTAAAAATTGTCTCTATAGTATTTAACTTGACCTTAAATTTTGACACTAGGGTGCCCTAAAACAACCTGCTAATAGCGCTACCATCATTGTCAGTCAGGAACCCAATGAGAATAGTTTCACCTTCCAAATTAAAAACACTCCCAAACATCCCCTTTTGCACTAAGAGCCATGAGTACACTAGGACAGAAACCACATCCAGTTTTTTTTGGTGTTGTTTCTTTGTTTTTTAAGCATTGGCTGTTATGCAAACATGCTACAAAAACTTGAATTAGTTTGCAAGAAAAAGCCTGTTAGACTGTTTCCAGAGAAAACAGCAATGCTTTGGGTTACTTTGAAAGTGGATTGGCCCATCTCCCCCAGAACACACCATTCTAAAATCATTTCTGTACTAGCAGGATTAATGGAAATGTGCTGTTCTCTGGGTTATTGCCATGGTTAACTGCGAATCCCCCAAGTGGTTTAAAAGAATCCCAAATATTTTGATAGCTTAGACACCACTTAAAAGTTTACCTCAACAGGGTCATTTTCCATTTTTCAGGGCAGAAATGAGTCTTCCTGTGACAGACCATATTTCTGCAGCACTGTTACATAGTGGCTTTTCATAGCAGTGTGATTTATGGCCTGCCTTTAGGAAGGACCACGTTAGGTGTAGGATATTAAAAAAAAAAAATAGTCTGTCTCCACATTGGAAGAAAAATAAGTTTGCAGAATAAACGTTGTGCCCCCTCCTTTAAACAACTCAGATATTTCATTTCTAAGTAAGAAAATGTAATTATGAAACTTGGAATCTTATTTTGTTTTAGTTAAATCCCCCTTTCTTGTAACCATGATTAGTTTCAGTTATCAAATACTGTTATTGGCCAAGACCAGAGGATAACTTGATGCCAGAAGTTCAAGACCAGCCTGGGCAACATAGCAAGACCTCATCTCTACAAAAAAAAGAAAAAGAAAAATAGCTGGGCATGATGGCATGTACCTGTAGTCCCTCGTATTTGGAAAGACGAGGCAGGAGGATCTCTTGAGCCCAGGAGGTTGAGGCTGCAGTGAGATAGGGTTGCACCACCATACTCCAGCCTGAATGTCAGAGCAAGACCTTGAAAACAATTTTTTTTGAAACATACTGATCTTAAGACAGCAATTCCATCTCCCATGTTCTTATATCACATTTGAATTTTGTTGGAAAATGAAAAAAAAGGCAGATTCAAAAAGTAAAAGTTTAGCTTGTGTCCCAGAAAATGGAGATTCCAATCTTGCTTTTGGGGAGTCATTGAAAGATGCTCTCCCCACTTGGAGAAGGATGGAAATCCTCTGTCCCTTGTCTCTCCCCTTCAGATCACTTTTCACCATTGGGGGCTTTTCCTGGTCTAATTCTCATGCCTGCCCACTTCCCCTCACACTTCTTCCTTCCTTTCAACTTTATTTGGGGTCTCAAAAAGGCCTGAGTCTTTCTTGAAAGGAATTTGAAAAGAACCAAGCACAATGACTGCCATTTCATGATGGAAACAGTATTTCAGGGCACACGCTGTGTCTGAATAGAACTCTCTCTACCATATTTTTTTCTCTTCCCCTCGTGGTTCATGGGAATATTGGTTTGGGAGGAGAGCCAAGCCAGTCTTTTGTTCTTATTTTTAACTTATGATAATAGAATATTTTCAGTGCACAGACTTCTGCAGAGTGTGTGATTAATAACAAGGGTTGAGGCCAGAGAAGTGCTAACAACAAGGCTATAATTACATTATGGGTTTTTAGTGACACCAAAAGAAACCAAGAGAGAAAGCTCAAGAGACATAGGACCTCTTAAGCACACTTACCCAAATTATACAGCCATGTCAAACTTCCAGTTTCTAAACGCCTTGTAACAAGAGATGACAGGGATGTAGTGTTTTTAATCAGAGAAAATCCTCAAGTTAAACACTCACCCTTTCAAAATAATTCTCTGCCCCTCATTTTGATGGCAATGGCCTAATGGTATCCATGGCTTCAATTTCTCAAGTAGCTGTTAATTTATGTTTAATGCAAAACACAATTTTTTACTTTATTCCTTTCTTCAAACTATAAGCAATCTTATTTTGCTCATCACCAATTGCATATGTCTTATTGTTTGCAATCTGCAAAGTTCTCCTTCTTGGCCTAGTTAGATACCCACTAGTAGAAGAGATATATTTTCATTTGGGAATAATTCATTCCCTGGTTTTTTAATGTTATTATATACAAATCAATTCATTCTGATGAGAAATTTGTATTCATTGCAGTCTACCAATCCAAGTTGCCTCATGCAATATGATATCTTTTTTTAAAAACACCCAAATTGTCAGGTGCCCATCTTTTCAGCAAACCTGTATTTCATAAATAAAGCTTTCCCTTTGTTAAGGCAATAGACAGCAATTGTGTTTTGAAGAAGCAATAGGAATAAGAGTGTGAATGCCAGATCACCTGGATTTCAATCACATCAGTTCTTATTCATCCCATTACCTTGGGCAAATTACTTAACCTTTCTGTGCCTCTGTTTTCTCATCTGTGCAATGGTCCGACAGTAGTTCCCAGCTCATGGTGCTCTTTGCAGATGTAATAAGATAATGCACGGACAGAGCTGGGATCAATGTGTTGCACATGCCACCCAGGTAGGATCAGTCTTCTTTGTATTAATTACGACTTGAGCTCCATCATGCTTTTGTTGGTTCAGAAGGACATTTAAGAGCACAGGACTGATTCGCTACCTGATGAATGGCTGTTTATCCTACAGGATCATTGATGGACATGATCTGATGCCTCTGCTTGAAGGGAAAACCCAACGCTCAGATCACGAGTTTCTCTTCCATTACTGCAACGCCTACTTAAATGCTGTGCGCTGGCACCCTCAGAACAGTGAGTAAACAGACCTTTCCATGCTTCTCATGCTCCATGCAACCTATGCCATGGGAATAGATAAAACTAAAGGCCAAAAAGGTGGCTCTGCTCGATGCAGGCCAACAGGCGCCTCAGTGTGCAACCATGTTTTCCTTGCTTTGTCCTCTTCCTCCTTTCTACTCCTTCTGGTCACATACTTGTCCAAGTAGGAGGACATCAGGGGACTGTGTCATTTATTCACTCACCTGAACATCACCCATAGCTTCTCTTTCCAAGCAGAGGAAGCTCCCTGTTCTCAACAGGGTGCTGTGGCTCGTCCTTTATTGCATGCACAACTGCCCAGCTTTACTTCCTGGGACTCCTCTCATACTGAGGACAGCAACCTCTGTGTTCTGTGTATTGCTGTGCTTACACTTGCAGGCTCTTCTCCAAGAGGGACGTCTTGCCTCATCCCTTCTTGTAGGGTACTCCCCAGTGCCTCCCAGACCCTGCTGAAATGCCAACTCCTTTGCATGTCCTCAAAGCATTCCCCTCACTCTTCTAGCATGGCACTAAAAGGTAGAGAATGAATGAATAGAATTTCAGTGTTTACCTGACTTACTTTCCCAGCCTAAAGATGATGGATCATGACTCACTGTATCTGTATTTTATGCATCATACATATTTGCTACATGTAGATATTTAAAGCAAAGTCAAAATGTTCTTCAGTGCTACCACATTTCCTGAACTGGGTGTTTTTTTTAATTGTGCAGTCAAACAGGATCTCATGTTAGTTTCACAGTGGAATTTCCAATTAGCATACAGGGACAAATGGTTTATAATCTTAGGTGTAATCACTTTCAGACCTTTCTTTCCTATCTTTGAAACTTAGATTTACAGTAATATTCCTATCACTAAGATGCCTGGCAGTCAATGGAAAGTGGTCAGCGATTTATATAGCTATTGTATATTCTAGAGGTACCTGTTGAGGTTGGACTTTCAGTTCCTTCTTTGGTGGTTAAATAAAAATTCCCCTTTTCTCTAAGGGGTTTTGGAGTTCTGCTTCTAGAACCTAGGACTGCCCCCCCCCCCATGAAGGGGGGCATGTAATAACCTCCCAGCTGCTAACTTCTTCTTAAACTAAGGGTGATTCTATTCCATTTTCTAATAAATCTTTGTCTTTTCCTCACTCACCTAGACAATTTATCCAAGACTTATCACTTAAAGAACAGCCTCTCTTTTATTTTTTCAACTTTTCCATGAAATTACAACCCTTCTGTTAGCCACAGAAATCACACCAGGTTTATGCTTCAGTTTCTCCTTTACATTTGGGCAGTTTTCTCATGATATGTTCTAGAAGACAAAAAACAACAGAAACATGGGCTTGTGATTTTACATATGGAAGCATTTTATTCACATAGCTCATCCATGTAGCCACAATTTCTAGTTTCCATAAGAATACTGCTTCTTTTTTAGATCAGTTTATAGCACCGATTCTGAGCTTTGTAATAAATGAGAACTCAAGGACTCTTAATTTCTTTTTATATGGAGCCAGCAAGGAATGTGAAGAACAAAGTTTCCGTGATTACTGCATGTTCGAATAAGTCTGTATCATGTCCTGAACCTTGCAAAATTGTATTTTAATAGAGCCAAATCCCCAGTTAGAGAAGCCAGAAGGAACATATTGGATCAGAGGCTGGAAGAACACATTATGTGGAGGAGTAAAGAGAAAAGGGACAGGAAGAGACAGAAAATAGGAGTGAGAAAAACAAGACCCAGTTTCTGATATGCAACTGGCCCCAGGATAAAATTTCCTTCTTGGACACAAGTAACATTTTCTCTCAGTGCAACTCCTTCAACTATTCTGCCTTGAACCGGCAACGAAAAAAGGAGAAATCACAGTATCTCAAGGCTAGAATGATTCATCGAGATAAAGGACCTCAGGAAAACATGATGTTTATGAATCATTTATGATTTATTTTTCAGACACTATCTGAAACTCAGTAACAGTATTTGCTGTCTTGGCTTTCATGCATGGCTTCGTGTTTAGTCATTTTGTATTCTATCTATTCATTTTTTCTAGAAACATGTATTGAGCACATACTGTATGGAAAATATCATGTTAGTGCTGGCATCTGTCAGTGAGCAAAACAGACAAAGTTCTGTGCTGAAGAGTAGCTTACATCTTAGAGCAGGCGGCACTGCTAGCTGTGCAATGTGCTGGGAATACAAAGATGCATAAGGAAAACGTGACTTTCATCCATATGGAGCTTTTTATCACCTGGGGAAGACAGAGCTTAAGCTAGTACTAGTAGAGTGAGTCTGCATAGGTCATCTCAGATAGACTTTGGTAGGAGCTTGTCAATAATCACTAGACTGTGGAACATATTCCATAAATCTTAGGGATAAGAGGTTTGTCATCTGACCTCAGAATACTTTATTAGAAAAAAAAAGAAAAAAAATGTAGTATTAGGGTTTATTAGCAGGCAGTGGTATGCTGGAATCAGCTCCTGGTCATTCAGGAATCTTGCCAGCTGGTTGTTAAACCATTGTATGTTTTCATTTGGCTGTGTTGTGGGTGTTTACACCATAGCAATTGGCAAACACAACGAATCCAGGCTGCCTTCCCTCCCTCAGAGCCCTAGGTTAACAACAGTTTGTTGGTATCAGTAGAACTGACTGCAGATGTTTTTAAGATGAAGTTACCATTTGTCTTGATTATTTGGAGGATTAAATGTTATAATTCCAAACTCATGAAATACTGATTTTTCAGAAATCTTAGAGCTAGGATTTCATTTCTACCCTTTGAAAACATGAATCTCTTTTAAATTTTATATATAATGTCTTTGCTATAATTTAGTTGTCTCAGCAAATTGAATGACATAATTTAATTATGATCTTATATCATTATTCCTATTACATTTACAAGAACTCATGAAAGCATTATTATAACATGGATAATTCTTCTTGCACTAAAATAGGAATTTTGAGTTAAAATTTAACATTCAATGGGTATGAAAAATTTTGGCTTTACCGTTTGACATATGAATTAACGTTATTAAAAATTCAACACAATGACAACTTGATTTTATGGATGGAATTTATCTTAGAGGGTAGGTGGATACATGGCTCCAGGATCAAGCTGATGACTGTAGCCTGTAACATAAATGCTCACATTAATGGGAGAGTCCACAAACCAGCTGGTCATACCAAAATCCATTGGATAGCTGTAGGTATATTCTAGAATGCAATGCAATATAGTACATAATCAATAGATTAAAGCGTTTTGCACAGACATATGTGGAATATTAGCATCATGTAGAAAAAAAGTTGCATATATTTGAAATGTCACACTTTAGTCAGGAAACGGGATATCCATGAAGCTATAAAAATTACTTAAGGGAACGGGGCACCAATACCATTCTTTCCCTGGGAGAAGGATGTAGACATCCTTACATTGAACTAGCAGAGCCTCATAAATCCTGCTCCATTTTCAATTCAAGTTTGTTGGAAATTTTTCTGCTGTGATATAAAAAGCTTTATTTTAAAAATGACAATGCTAAAAACTTTTGAATGATTCTCTTCTAGCTATTGTGAAATATATAATCAATTAATGTTAACTGGTGATGGATATCCCAACTTCCCTGATTTGATTATATGAGTGTTTCAAATGATCACAGGTACCCCGAAAATACATACATTGAATATGCATCAATAAAAAAATAAATAATTAAATAAAATTACAGCAAACAGGAATAGAGTAATAGAATTTATTCCAAAGGAATATGTTCCTTTCCAACTTTCTGAAAGATGCCTTCTTTTCAAAATAAGAGCTCAGGAATGGTTTAAAATCAAACCCAGCTTACCATGGTAACATAAGGAAAAATGCTTGCATTGCTCATTATCTAACATTTTCATTTAATTAAAAAATTAATTTTGCCTCTAAAACACACCTAATAGAAGAGATTCTCATAACAGCCACTTATGAGTTAACAGCATCAGAAAGGCAGCACTTGGCTTTCATCTTCACTAGTAATTTTGGTGAGTACTTGTCAGATGCCCTTCCTCATCTGATCCTCAGAATTAGGATTTAAAGTGTCAGAAATAAAACATTGAGGGCTGAAGCTGACTTAATGTGATGCAACATTTCCAAATTTAAGTTTACCAAGAACTATCCCCTGTTTCAGCTTACCTTATAAAAGGACATATTCTATAACTGTTGTAGCAATTAAGAAAAAGCACATATATGTAAACCATTTCAAGGATATCTTTTAAGTCTTAGAATTTGTTTTCTCTGTGAACACTTCAAATGCTGCATTGCCACAAGATTTTAATAGTTCAGGCATGTAGCCATTGTTTCACTCGTGTTCCTGTGAAGCCCTGTAGCAAGGTACAACATATGTACTTGTAATTGCAGCAACACAGGATGATGGTGTCCTGAGATGAACACAATTTGCTTTGGAGATCTAGGAGAAGGAGTGACTTATGAGGTTATAAAAGATTTCATTGAACTTTTTAAAATTAAATTTATTGTATATCATTATCATTCAGCCACATCAGTAACAGCTTAACTTTCCCAGTCATTTCCTTTAGTGGAAAAATAATCACCACATAAATAGATTTTGTGTTTTCCAAAATAGTCTATTAAACATATATTTTCTTATGAAACTCCCTATTACTTTATAGACAGTATCAGACAGTATTTGAGATAAACATTCACTTTTCAACCAGAGTTACAGAATGTCTGATCTAAGATGACACTAATACCATGGAAGAAAAAGTCTTGGTCATTACTTTTGATAATTTGCTACAATTCAAACTTAATTCCTTATAGAGCCAAAGTAAATCAAAATTGAATTTTCTTTCTTGAATTAAAAAACAAAAAAAACAAAAAACTTACTGTGTCTGAGTGCTCAAATGCCCTCTTCCAGCTAAGCTTGGCGACCAGCTTTTTCTGATCTTTCTGCCAGAGGTCACTTCTGATCTTTCCCCCTTGCATCCTCTGTATTACCATTTCACCAATTTTCTGCAGTATTTTA